ACCATGAGCTTGCACAGCACTTTACCAATGTCTCCCCAGCTCGCACTCTGTTTATTATGGCCGGAGAACACCGCGTTTAGCATCACAGGCTTAAAACCACTTATCAACAGAGCTAACATGACACCTATCTGGGTACCAAACACAACCCACCCACGTTAAAGATAAACTTTAGGGAAGTGCATCGTGTAACTAGTTCTTTCTCACATGCATATGCAAATCAGCAGATAAATTTCTAACTTTCAAGGTAAAACTTTTTTCACATAATTTGATTTAAAAAAATAAAATGTGGCCTGCAAGACAGAGGGCTCAGCAGAAAAAGGCATGTTTGACCAAGTCTGATAACCTGAGTTCAGCCCCATACACATACATACATACATAAATGTAAAAAGGTTTTGTTACTTTCTACATACATAAATATAAAAAGGTTCTGTTACTTTCCTTCTCAAAGCAGCTCTTCCTCTGGGTGTTTGTACTGATGAAATCCTATTATACTTCCTCATGCCAGGCTTGCACTAAGTAATCTGAGCATGCAGATAAATTTAATAAAATGAAAACTCATTTCTCTTCCAAAATTTTGATTTTAAATTAAGTTATAACCAAAGCCATGATTTTAAAACTGAAAAATTAGGCAGCCTCATTAAAAAATAAATGATACAGCTGGGGCCACTTCAAAGCTAAATGACTGGGCTAAAAGGCCTGGGAATGTAAACCATCTGTGATGACCACCCATGGCTCGAGCAGGCAGCCCCTGATCAGGAAGATCAAGATGTCAGAAGAAATGCAGCCGAGGCTGACGAGAGTATTGACAGAGCAATAGCTATTGTATCCTGAGCACTGGAAGGTGATATGGTCGGACTCCAGGTAACAATGGCTGTTTACGACACTGAGCAATATGAAACTTCCATTTCAACAGCATCCGCTCACTGGAGAGGGTCAGGCAATTCAGAGAGTGAATTGTGCATTCATTCACCCAGGGCCTTGCCACTTACAAGCACGTGACTGAGATAACAGATGTATGCCCGTGATAGCACCCTGAAATAACAATTACAAAGCAGGGTTTCGTTTTGAATTAAAGCTCTCCATTTGTAGCCTCCTTTCATCATAAGCCATTGGCTCTGCACTCACTGCCCATTGGCCAAGAGCTTAGTTGGTCCTCCATTTCCAGTGTCACCCTTGCCTCTAATAGATTTCTTTATCACCACCCATTTAGGCACTCACTCACGCATCTTTCAGTCTGACATTTTCCTGATTTATGTGAACAAGGTCTCAAGTACCCCACAATGTTCTAGGGTTCCTGGAGACTATGTAGCAAGAATGCCTCCCACTGTAGATCCTTCTGCATCCCCCTCCCAAGTGCTAAAGTGACAGGTGCCACGATTTCTGGCTCCAAGCTAGCACTGCTGTGGTTTCCTTCCGTGTTGGGTCCCGTTCTTCTTGGTTCCACATGATCATGTTCTGATTTCTTATTATTCTTTGATACACTCTCATGCTGACGACATTTTATAGAAATCCGAATCTCAGACAGCAAAGAAATGGCTCAGTAGTAAAGCATTTGGTGCTTGACCAGGAGGACCCCACACAGACATTTAGTTCCTGTTTGCTTGTGATTCAGATGGGAGCTCCCTAAGTAGCTCTGGCTGGTCTAGAACTCGCTGTGTAGACCAGGCTAGCACTGAGGAGGCAGAGAGACAGGCAGCTCCCCAGACCTCTCACTGGTCCACCGACTAGCCAAATCAGGTGTGCTCTGCGAATGGCAAGAGACCCTATCTTGGAAAACACGGTAGGGAATGGTTGAAGAAGACACCCAACATCAACCTCTGTCCTCCACATAAAACCACACACATGTGCACCCATTCACAGGAACATGTACAAACACATACGCCATGCACACACATCCAAAGTTCACTTCTAAGATTTTTCCTCTTCCACTCTGATAGCGACACACAAACTCCCTTGCCTTGCTTTAAAGGCAGTGAGAAGGGAAGGAGGGAGGGGAGAGGCACGCCTTAATAATGACCAGTGACACTGGCCTCATTCAAATCTTTGCTTCTAAGCTAACTTAGAAATATGCATTGTCACACACAAACCTCTTTTTTTTTTTTTTTAATTAGGCTCTATTCTTTTTTTTTTTTTTTTTTGGGGGGGGGGGTGGTAATACAAGGTCTCATGTAGCCCAGGCTGACCTCAAACTAACTCAGCAGCTGAGGAGTTCCTTGGCCTTCTACTCCCCTGCCCTCTACCTTTTCCACTTAAAATTTTATTACTAGGAAAAATTTCTCATTTTTCTATTTCTGTTTTATTTACTCACTACAACATGGAGGGAACAGGAATAGTTTACAAATCTTGTCAACTAAAAAGTGTAGAGTAAACACATAAAAATGTACAATTTTTTGAAAAGGTTGATTTTGTTAGTAGCTTAAGCCTAAATCCAATGTGTGTTTTTTTTTTCCATCAAAATAAATTCTCTGTGCAAAACCAAAAGGTTCTATCAATATGTTGACATAAAAGTCACAAATCTGTATTGGGGAAAATAAACCCAAACGTATAGTATAACCCACACAAACATATTAAAATCACACATTGCTGCTAGGCAGGGGTGGAAACACAGCCAGGTGGGGCTCTGTTAATTCAAGGCCAGCCTGGCCTACAGATCGAGTTTCAGAACAGCCAAGGCTACACTTGCAGCCATGGCTACAAAAAAAAAAAAAAAAAAAAAACAGAAAACCCTGTCTCGAAAAACAAAAAATAAAATAAAATCACACATTGCCTAATTTTCCCTAAAAGGTAATAACTATGCAAAAGACAAAAAGCAGACTTACGCCCAATAAAGATCTAAGAAGAGCTTCGGAGAACTAAAAATCTCAACCACCCAACTCATCCTTGATTTTCACAAGTGAGCCTTATGCAAAACCAAACATCTCACAGAAATAAATGCAAAAGCAAGCTTCGTTTCAGTCTGTTTGAGACGGATCATCCTAACAGATGCCACCTGAACTGGAAAAAAAGCAGCCAGTGTCTAGCCTTTGTCATAGGGAGTAGCACTCAGGGATGAGAGATGGGAATGAAGAAGAAAAACGGGAAAAAACTCAGATGCTTGATGAAGCCAAGATTGTGCTTATATCTGCTGCAATGAATTCTGCTCAGCTACTGAGTGCAAACAAACCTGGAGAAGGCAGGGCAACAGACCTTTTTTTCCCAAGGGAAAATTTCTTCTTTTTTAATTTTTTATCCACTTTACATCCTTGTTGTAGGCCCATTTCTCCTCTCCTCCATCCCTCCCTCTCCCCCTCCCCTGTTCCTCAGAAAAGGGGGGCTCCCTTTCTCATCCACTCCAGCTCATCAAGTTGCATCAAGACTGAGTGTGTCCTCTTCCCCTGTGGCCTGGGAAGGCAGTCCTGACAGGGAGAAGTGATCAAGAAGCTGGCACATGAGTCCATGTCCCATGCAGTCTCCACTTCCCTTACTAGAGGACCCACATGAAGCCTAAGCTGCCTGTCTGCTACATCTTTGTAAGGGCCTAGGTATGGTTCGTGCATGATCCCAAGGAAATATTTCTAATGCAGCACCAACTGTTCAATTACCCATCCTTAAATGGGTACAAAATCAAGTAAACAAAACTTTAAAGTGGAGAAGAGCATAGAGAGCTGATGAACCCCCAAGTAAGTGTATATTATTGACAAGAAGAGCATGGCTATGTCAAAGACCCAGTGCCTCAGACTCATGGGAACTGCCAGGCCTCCCTATTCCTCTGAACTTGCGCACTCCTGTTGCCACAGTGTGCAGAAAGAATCCACACAGTGCTCACTGCAGCCTGAGATTGCTACCCTATGGAGTACCCCTCCAAGAGCGGCTAACCTGCCTCCTCCTTGGTCCTGCCCTAGTGCTGAGTTTCCTGTCCACTGCATTCTGACGTGTTTTCATCAGAGATCTACACCCACCAGCCCCAGCCTTTCTAAATGGTGTCTGTCTTTTCTGCATTCGCTGTCACCGGAGCAGGCAAGAAGGAATCCTTTATAGCTCACAGCTTTCTACCATGGGGTCTTGGCTGATAAAACCCAAATCAACAGTGGTCTTGGAGATAGCCCTCCATTCAAAGAAGGTTTCTATTTTCAGGTCTCTTTTCACCAAAAAGGAAAAGCATCAAGTTGTATACCGACAACAGTATAAAATAAAAAGAAATGCTAGGGGCCAGAGAGCTGGCTCGGCAGATAAGAGTATTTGCAGCTCTTGCAGGAGACTGTAGTTTGCCTCCCAGGACCCGTATCAGGTGGCTCGTAACCACCTACAAGTCCAACTTCAACGGATCCAACATCCTCTCCTGGCCTCAGTCCATGTGCAGACACACATGCACATGCACAAAAACACACAACTAAAAATAAAATAAAAATTTGAAAACAAACCCTACGTCCTCTCTTAGTTCCCTGTTTATTCTTAGGGCAATAATACCCTTTAAAATGGTCTTTTCTACGAGCTATTCTACATAGAGATAAAATGCTTTAAATCTTAATACTCAGTATCAGTTCACTAAGAAGACTAAAAGAAACTACAGTGTGTTTATGATGAAGGTAGGACTTAGTAATTCAATACCATCTTGTTGTCTTTATAAAAAGACACCTGTATTTGCTTCAGCTGTAATTGGGTACATAGGAAAAGTCTTAAGTAAAAGAAAGTGTAGGAGTCACGTGGTAGGTGGCCTCAAACTGACGAAGGCTCTACAAACTTTAGAACAATTTTACACTGAATTAATGGAGTGCATCAGACAGTCGCGGGCAGAGCCCTCTGTGTGAAACGTGGGACTCTATTCTCTACCTCTTCTGAGTTTTCCAGGCTCAACTGGGCATATCTGGAGAGGCAACCTGTGGCCAGATAGTGCCCACAATGCTCACCCAAGGACACCTTCTCCGCCCAGCACCAAAATGCTCACCCCACTGATACCATGGAACCAAACAGCGCCCAGAAAGCTCACCCCACTGCCACCTGCTTTCCTTTCCCTCTCTTACCTGATAATGTGCGTGGGCTTGCTGAGCAGAGTTCAAGGTGACATTGCAGAGTTTGCAGAAGAGGGGCTTACACAGCTCCTCCAGGGCAGAGTCCAGCTCCCCTCCCTTAGCTAACTCCTCTTCCCCTGCCAGAGACCCGGATGCTTCCAGCCCAAAAGGCTTCTGTGGCGGAAGCTGCAAGGTCCTAGTGGACCTGGCAGCCACTGACATAGGAGGAGAGGTTGAGGGCCGCTTAGGTGGAGGAAGCCCAGCCTGCTGCAAAAGAATCATCAGGCAGGAAAGCCTCGAGCATAATCCAGTGGGTGGTGGGGGACGGAGTCTTCAAACCTGAAGTAACCAAAAAGAAAACTAAAATGAGATCTCAGGACTATGACACAGAAACGACACCAAAGTCTTTTTCCTCTGCAGACACACTGTGGGGCCTCAGCCTAGCAGGCATTCCCCACCTGGTTATCCCTACTGACATAAGGCTTTTTGCTTGGCTCAGTTCCAAATGTCATCCCTCTGGCCATGGCATTAGCAGCATTGCATCCATGGCCAATTAAATCGAAAGTCACGTGGCTGGAATTCGACATCAAAGGTCATCTAGACCCCTGCCTCTGGAGTGCTGAAACACTTTTTTGTTTTGTTTTTTTGAGACAGGATTTCTCTGTGTAGCTCTCGCTGTCCTGGAACTCGATCTGTAGAACAGGCTGGCCTTGAACTCATAAAGATCCTCCCTAGTATGCCTCCCAAGTTCTGGGATTAAAGGCATGCTCCCCCACTCTTGATGGTAATATTCATAACCAAAAAAAAAAAAAACAAGCAAATGAGAAAACCTACCAGGAAAGAAACTCTTCCAACCAAAGGAGAGCAGAGAGTACCACCTCTAAGAATCTTTTCTCCTCCTTCTTTCTTTTTTTGTTTTGTTTTGTTTGTTTAAGTATTTTGTTTGGTTTGGTTTTACTCTGTGCATGTGTGTGCACCGCAGCAAAAGCTCTTCTTTCGCCTTTACACACATGTGTACCTAAGAGGTACAGCAGCACTGTATCCACCAGCCACCTTTTTAAAGACAGGGCCTCACTAGCCAGGATGGCCTCAGATTTGCTGTGTAGCTGAGAATGACTTTAACTCTTCATCTTCTGCCTCCACCTCCTGGGTGCACAGCCACACCCAGCTACTTGTCAGACCTTTAAGGCATTTCTACATCTTGCTGAAAGGTGGGTGAAATCTAGAACCAGGGCAGCATTAAAATGTAACAAATGTAAACAAAGCACTTCTTCTGAGCAACTGGCAGCAGCTGAGTAGCTAAGCCAATGGTTCTGTGAGGCAGACAGAAGGACTGCCTGTGGGCCTCAGATGACACAAATGTGCTGTTTGGAAGACAAGAGCTTTGTTTTGCTTTTGTTTTTAAGTTGGATTCATTGTCAATATTTGAAAATGAAAAGCTTCACAGAATCCAGTGATGAAAAGATAATCTGGCAACACTACACCCACGACCTCCACCGCGCACAACCACCTGTTTGCTGCGAAGAGCACCGTACTCCAGGCCAGCCTTCTCTGAGACCCCTCAACCCTACCCAGGACACTGACCAACCAACCGCCTTGGGATGGTAAGTCTACTCCATATAGCCTTCGACTACAGTCATGAGGCTCTTGCAAAATTAAAGTATCTTTTCTCTATCAGGAGGAAAATTACCACCCAAGATAAAGCATCCAGATTGAGAAATGTCCAACCAAGTAATAGACCACACAATCCTAAGCCCTACCGTGATTTATAGGCCATTTGTATCATCCCCCTTTCTTCCTAAATGAGGGTACACACTCAGTGATGGTTATATAATTTCAATTGTCAACTTGACAGGATCTGGAATCACCTAGAAAGCGTCTCAATAAGGGGTGATACAGATTGGGTTGGCTGTAGGCTTGCCTATACGGGGTTTTCTTAATTAGGTTGAAATGGGAAGACCCACCCTTAGTGAGGGTTGGTCTCGTGCTATGCATACAAATGCTGAATTCTGGGCCCCAAGATCTGATTGCATTTCAGGTGACTGCTGAATGACTGCTGAATGTTGAATAAACTTTGCTCCCTAATATGCTGATTGGTTAAATAAAAGAGGCTGGACAGCCTATAACTGGGCAGTAGAAAAGAGGGTGGGGCTTCGGTTGGTGGGTGGTGCCTGAGGTAGAGACTACTAGGCTGTGGACAGAGAGGAAAGACAGAGAAGATGGAGAGAAAGTCTGTGGCCTGGTGGTGCAGATCCAGCCCAGACAGGACAACATACTGGCAAGTAACTTGGGAAGTGAGGCTGGGAAGTAGCCAGGCTAGCTTAGAAAATCAGTTTAATCATACCTGCCCAGTTATTGTCCTAAAGCTGTTTAAACAAATCAATAGGTCTCTGTCTCAATTTGGGGGGAACCAGCCGGATCATAGAAAAGCCCTCAAGAAGTAATAAATATTCCACAACACACCCTATAGGTAGGTCCGCTGCACCGGCCCTGGACTACATCAAAAGGAGACAGAACTAAACACTCTAGCATTGTTCTCTTCTGACTCTGGACCCAATGTGACCAGTTGCTTCAGGCTCCTGTTACCTAGACTGTCCCACCATCCCACCATGATAGAGGTACCTTGAGTTGCTCTTGTCAGGATATTTTATCATAACAAAAAAAAAAAAAAAAAAAAAAAAAAAAAAAACCTGGACACTCTATTCTGTTTTCCTCAGAAAAGACCTATAATGTTCCCCTCTCTCTTCAACTTTATCCCTGACTCCTTCTGCTCCCCAATCAGATGACATCTTTCAGTTCTGGCCACTTAGAAAACACCACAGCAAATACCCTTCACAAATTCTAATTATCCAAATCAGAAGCCTTACTTCAAAGTCTACACTTCCCTCCGCTCAAGGTCTGGTCCTGTTAAAACCCTTTTTCTTGGTCAAGAGAATACAATGTTTCAGCTGATGAGGTTTCCCATCCGTGATGAAGACCAGTTGGCTAGAGCAGTAACATTTACTAAAATGACTTAGGGAAGCTCTGAAAAGTAAACAATTATTTAGTACACTTGGTAAACACACAGTGAGGAGACACTGGCTAGGAATTCAAACAGTTAAGAGAAAGATGGTTAGTCGTAGAATTGAACAGTACTTTTCATTAATTGCAACAGCTATAAAAGGATAACAATCAACTACTCATATCTCTGAAGACACAAAGAAAAATGATACAAATTTGAAACATTTAAACGATAAGTTTCTCTGAAAAAAATATATTATGTCTCCCAACTAAATAAAAGACATCCAAAAAAGCACACATGATTCTAGATATGGGGGAAGGGGGTAATGAAACTAAAGAAACAAAACCATCTTTTTAAATAGATTAACTACTCAGTTATAACTGACTGTGTCATTCTGACACTAACTTGTCATACAGAGTCTCTGGTCATCGATGCTGTTGGGTCATAGAGAAAGGACAGAGCAGGGTACCAAACCATCCACATACAATATACACAGAGAACCAAATCAGCCTACTACCAAGACATGCCTGGGCTTGTTTCTTGCCTGCTTACTCCCACCTGAGGAAACCCCAGCATGCCGTTGTCCACACGGTCACACACAACGGTCCAGCAGAAGCAAGGCTCTCCACAGCAGAGGCACAAAGGGCCTTATTCCAGGGCAAAACACTGGCAAGGGTGAGGCAGGAGGTGCTTACAGTGCAGGCTTACCTAGTTCCACACTTTATCTTCATAATGTTCAAAGAATGGGTAAAGACCTTAGAACTACTGCGTAAGACTAACCTTCTCCATCAAAAAAAAAAAAAAAAAAAATCTATAGGCGACAATCACAACAGGTATTTCATTCGGATAATAAATAAATCAATCTAAAATAAATAAAACCAAACCTTCAGTGAATGCAAGAACTGTGAAATACAGAGACCCAAAAACACACTCGGATTCGTTCAAACTGCTGCATTAATTTAAGAGACTAATTTAGAAACTGATATAAAAATACTTCTCAGATCTTAAAATTCATCCGATTGGATGCTTGCGATGGCATACATGAAGGATGCACAGGGCTTAATGTCCTAATTTGGAAGGGAACGGAGAAGACACTAAAGAAAACCACAGCTTAACCATGGACCAGTTTAAGGAAAATGAATGACCACAGCACACGTTTCGACGGCTGGGATGGGGCCTACTCTTCACGGGCTGTATGGCAAACAACAGCCCTCCCCTTGGCAGAAATAGACCCAGGGAAAAGAAAAGGATCCAAGAACAGGTTCCCGGCGTCCGGGTAAAGTAGGGAAGGCTGTCCCCTGATATTCTGGAGAAGAGCAGAGAGACTCTTACTCAGAGGTCACCAGAACAAGGTAGGCAGAAAAACAGTCCCTGGAGGCTGTTTTACATCACAGAAGAAAGCTGAGAGAGAGAGGGAGGAGGCCCTGGCGACCCAGGCTCAACATCTAGGACTCAGAGCTGCTCCCCTGCAGCATCGCCCCCGCGTGTGCCATTCCTGGGCTGGGCACGCACATGCACACCGGTCCCGCGCGGATGCCGGCGGGGAGCACCGGGTCGCCGAGGCAGCTACGCGAACGGCTGCGGGATCGGGATCGCGATCGGTGGCCCGCCGGACGCCGCGGGCGAGGCTGACACGCGCACACGGACGCAGCCGCACGGACCCGCGGACCGCACTCACCGGAACCGGCAGGCCGCAGCCGCCCCGCCACCCCGCGCGCCGCCGCCCGCTCCACGACCACTTTCTGTGCTACTCGCCGCCGCCTGGCCGCTCCGAGGCTGGAGGTTGACTGTCAAAAGTCCTTCGGAGTGGAGCCACCGGGAAACAGCTGCAGGAAGTGACTGCGGAACCGGGAGGCGGCGGCGGAGGAGGAGGAGGCAGGGCTCCCGGCGGCGCCACTGCGCATGTGCGTGGGCAGCGGCGCCTCCCGCAGACCCGGAGCGCGGGGCAGGTGCGGGACGGCGGTGCGAGAGGGTATAGTACCCGGGTACGGGTGACGCCTCGGAGCCTACCCTGAGAGCGATGCGGGCAGAAGCCTGGCACAGCCTGGAGGAGGGCGAGGGTTCTCTCCTGAGATCTCGAAACTGCACTCCCTGCGCCTCCCTGCGTAGGGAAGCAGCGCGGCCGAGCCCTCCCAAGGCTGCAGAACCCGCACAGAAGTCCTACCCTCACCTGCGCTAGGCGATGAGAGAAGGAGGACGCTTCCTCCCGACTCTCGGCAGCCTCACCTGCAGGACCGGACGGACCACAGAAGCCCCCGGGACACCTTCAAGGGAGACGCCGAGCTGGATTTTAGCCCTAGGGTTCTGCCGGCTTGTAATACCTTAATGCATGTAGCTACTTGTATGGTGGCTGGGTTTTTTTCTCCCCGGACAGCATGACACAAATTTTCCATTCTATCAGCAGAGTGCGGTTCCGCAGCATCAAGTACTTTCACATTGTGTGCGGTTATTGTGTAATCATAAACTAAAAAGCCAGGGAGGTCCGAGTATGGTAAACTGTGCCCTCGTAGCCGGCCGACTTATGCAGGAAATTAAGGCTGTCACTGGAGCACGCACCATCCAGTACCAACCCGGGGCTGGCTTTGAAAATTCGAGGACAGTTCAAAACAGACTAAACCAGTGGGCAACAGCCGCTGGGGAGAGTAATCCTCTATCCAGATGAGTTCAGTGCGTGTGCAAATATCAGATGGCTTCTCTGTTTTTAAAATAACAGGGCAGGAATGCGTTTCCCATTCCATGGTTATAAGGCCTTAGCTAGTCTCAGAACTTTGCCATTCACACTTGTTTAGCTGGGACCATGGCTGGGCCCTGGCTGACCTTCTCATCTCAACCCTCATCCTCATTTGCTTTGTAGAGCAGGTTGACCACGAGCTCACATTGACCCACCTGCCTCCGCCTCCGCAAGTGCTGGGATTACAGGGCCAGCCACCACGTCCAGCTCCTCATCCTCATTTTCCCCTACAGGTCCTATAGTAGTTACCTGTCGTGTCTTACTGTAAAATAGCCGACAAAGGCAACTGAAGAAAAGAAAGGTTAATTTTGGCTCACAGTTCATGAGAGCGCACGCGGGGCAGCTGATCACACTTGCCCACAGGAAGCCCGGAGAAGTCCCTCGGATGCTTTCCATCCATGGGATGCCGCCCACATCCAGGGGGAGTGTTCCCTCTTCAGTTTCTAATCTGGAAACGCTCCCACCCACAGGCGCAGGAATGGTTTTAGATCCTGTCAAGTTGACGGGCCGCGATCTCACTTTACCTCTGTGAATTTAATTCAGTCTGTCCCGCGTGTTGAATGCCTGTCCACACTGTTCTGGCTACCCCTGCTGTCCTCTGCAGCTTCGCAGACAAGCTTCCGAAGAGCTGCCAGTGTACAGTATCGCTTCCTCATGTTTTAATTTCTCATACACGTCATCTGCCTTAAACTCCTGCGTGCAGGAAGAAATAGGTCTTGGAATTTTCAGTTTATGGTGTATGGTTTTATGCATAAAAGCTGAATGTAGGGACCTCGCCCTCTAGCTCATACACACACATATAGTCCATATTTCAGTGTTTGCCATTCTTGACCCTATACTGACTTCAGATATCTTCCCTTGCCCAGGAAAAAGTAGGCAATTCCAAGATACATGTTTCATAGATGAGTAAATCTCATGACAGAGACAAAGGCCCCATAAGTTGTTGCTTTTGTTGGGAATCATTTGGCTCGTATGAGTGTCAGCACCAATAAATAAATAATAAATAAAATAAACGAAAGGAAAAGAAACGCAGGTCATATCCATCACCTTTTCTGTAGGAAAAAAAAAATCTCAATGACTTGTGGTTGAAGCCTATTTGTGTCATTCTGTGCTGCTGGTCGGCCAAATAAAGGCACACCTATGTGGTACTTGGACGATTTTTAAAGCAAATGAGAGGATCAGAGTGCTAGCGGAAGCCAGGGGAGCCGCTTAAAGCTGTGTCTCCAGTGTCGCATTGTGTCACTAATGTGTTATGGCCCATTCACACAGATCCCAATGGCCAAAGCCTCTTCTGTCACTAAATCTCAAGCCAGAGCAGTTGTCTCTGCCTTCATAGGCATCTGGCATGGTGATGGGTCATTCTAAATACAAATACAGCGAAAGAGCCCAGGTGGTTAAAGCGCTTTGCCGCCAGGCCTGGAAACCCCAGCCATCCCTGGTACCCGCATAATAAAAGCCAGGTGCAGGTGATATGCCTCTGTCATCCCAGTGTCCCTGAGGTGGGATGAGAAGCAGAGACAGAAGACTCGCCCAAAGGTTCTCAAGCCAGCTGCGTTGGAGTACACAGCACAGTAGAAGAAACAGGAGCGTCCCTGCCTCAGGGTGGAAGGTGAGAAATTATTCCCCCAAAGCCTATCCTCTGACCTCCACAGCAGGCCTGCATTCACACACCCTTGTAGTAACAGTCATCATAATATTTTTTAAAGACTATAACTTGACACAGATATGGGCAATCTTGTCACTTAGAGGTGCTATTACAAACCCCAAGAAAGACCTCATGTCTACTCTCCTTCTCCAAACAAATTTCTGCGGTTGCCTGGAAAGAAACTGTGGACACAGACATAGTGGAACTCCTGGACAGATCTTGAGGTCTGCACCCCTGGCACCTGAGCTCACACATCAGGGAGATGCAAAAGGCAGCTCAGGTCCTGAGGTTTTTACCTCAGTGAGCCCACAGAGAAAGCACTGTGGCTCAAGCTTACTGCTTGGTCATGAAGAACCAGAAAAAAAAAAAAAAAAACAACTCCAAACTTGAATTTGTTTGCTGTTTGTTTGTTTGTTTGTTTTGCTTTTAGCACCTGATGCCTTAAAACTCACTCAATGGTAGCTGCAAGAGGTGATAGACAGCCGATGACCCGACAGGTCAGAGTGAGGAAAGGACAAAGCTGAAGGTACAGATCAGTTACCCCAAAGCTGTAGGCAAGATGTGAACTTTTGAGGCTAAAGTCAATGGGGTACAGGGTTGTTCCTAACAAACCAATAAAACACCTCCCCTTACTGCCTGCTTTCCACCTTGCCCTGGCCCCTCTCAAATGATTCACAAGCCCTCCTCAGAGGAGCAAACAGAGGTAGATCATTTGGAAGTGATTATTATTAACCACAACTGTCTCAAGGGCTAATTGGTTTTTAAGGAAAAGAAGCACATGGGAAATGACTACAAGATTTTCTCTGTGGGAAGAAGAGACTCTCCACATAAGACACATTTCTTTTTTTTTTTTTTTTCTTTGAGGCGTGATTGTGCTATTGCTCCAGGCTGACCTCAGCCTTTTGAGTGATGAGATTACAGACATTCACTGCCATGTCCATTCAATTATCAAGGAGGAAGAGAAGGAAAAGAGTAAAAATCAGTTCACATCTTTGAATTTGTAGGCTGTTACAGCACAAGCAGCAAATTTGCATGGCCACAGTTAACTGAAAAACGAATATAATATATAGTATATTATTATAATATATTATTAATATAATATATAATATATAGTATATTATTATATTATTAATATAATATATTGTGTATTATATATCATATTATATATAATATAATTATATAATGTATGCTATATAGTATACTATATATTATATATAGTATATGCATAATGTATTATATATTATAATATATTATATAACATCTATAATATTATAATATATATTAAATATTATATTATATATAATTATATATTAAATATATAATATATTGTAATATAATATATTATTATGCATATACTATAGATACTACAAATGCATGAATAAAAAAGGAATTTCTGTCCTAATAGGATTGCAGTGTCTGACAATTGTTCTTGACAAAAACTTCTCTGTTAATGTGACTATTATATATGAGAGACTGAATCTATCAGGAGAAAATTCCTACCTTAAAACAAGAAAAACGATCTAGAGATATGGCTCAGCAGTTAAGAACACCTGCTGCTTGTGCAGAGGACTGGGGTCCACTTCCCAGAACCCAGGTGTTGATGCCCAAACATATAAATATCCAGTTCCAGAGAATCCTGTGCCCTATTCTGGCTCCTCAGCATGCCTGTTACATCCCTTCTTATGTGCAGGTAAAACATACATACACATAAGTTGCTTTTTGTTTTTAAATGGTGAAGTGAGGGAGGTGACCGAGGCGATCAAGGTAATTATCATCTACATGGCCAATTCAAGGCCAGCCTGAGCTACATGAGAATCTGCTTCAAAATATAACAAAGAGAGAGAAGTATTTTAATTACATTAAATTATATACAACAAAAATCTACTTGTGTTAGTTTGTTTACCAAGAATATAATTCTAACATTCTTTGGGTACATTGTCTTGGCTTGAGATTTTGGGGTGTCTACATGAGTAATCTTCATGTGCACACATAATCAGAAGAGAAGAGACATTTATCATTTCCAAGGGCTTGTGCACATATCAAGTCACTATTCCCCTCTTGTGTGGATGTGTGCATGGAGTCTTGAGACACTGTGACCTTCACTCTCATGCTCAGGGCATGACACATGACCACTTCCAGTGTTACTTTTTCATTGACAGCATCAGAGAAAGACTCCAAAATTATTTTTGCTGCTTGTAGACACACTTCTTCCTTTACATCAACAGCAACACAGTATACCAAGAGTCCCAATTCAAGCAAAACAGTCCCTCAAGTGTCTTTGAACATTTTTCCTTTAAAAAAAAAAATAGGGCAACAGTAGCAAGATGTCAACAGCAGAGATATAATTTCAGCTTCCTTTCATTCCTTTAATTAAAAGCTGAATCATGTAGGTAGCAAAGCTCAGCCTGTAGCCAACTACCACACTGAGATTCCCTCCCAGGCTCAAAATATAATTGAGGATGGAGACAAACCA